TGCCCCGGGGAGCCCTGCCCCAGGCCCGCTCCTCCTCCAGGCTCAAAGCAGCTCTTGTCCATGCACGACACGGGGAAGGGGCGAGATTGCAGCCCTGGCTGTGCAGGGGGTGCCTGTGCCAGCCCCTACTCCAGGTAGATGTCTTCCGTGGGGCACGTGTACTCCACATACTCCTTGTAGAATTGCTGAAAAGCCCTCCTGCAACACAGCACCGGGCAAAGCTGAGCAGCGTCATCCCCACAAGGCATTTACAGAGTCCCGCTTTCCTTCTCGCCCTCGCTCCCTACCCTGCGGCCAGTTTGACCCTCCAGTCCCCCAGCCCCTGGCCCCTCCTGCGTTAGCACCCAGAGCTGCCATCAGAGCTGCAGGGTCTCCATCCTTGCTCTGATCCCCTGCACAGTGCAGGACTTTCAGCCATCTGCCTGCAAAGCTTTGTACTGGGACTTGTTCCAGTGTTGTCAGGAATACGCTGCCCGTAGCCGTCAGCCCTGGCTCTCACCCCAAGCCTCTCACTTGAGGGAAGAGGTGCCAGCCTGGGGCCAGGTCCAAGCCCCACATATATGGGGAGATGGCAGAATTCAGCCTGGCTGCCTTGTTCCTCCTGCCCTTCAGGAGCAAGCGCCTCCCTTCCTGCCCAGCTGGGACTCACCCTACAGACTCCGCCAGTGGCTTCGTGGACTCCTCCGAGACAAAGACATGACAAGCAAATCTGTGGTCAGCAGGGTGCTTGGTGATGAACCCAAAATATCTGAGAGCAGAGAGAGTGGGTGTGACTGGACCAGCAGACAAGCAGGCACAGGTACCCCAGCATCCCCGAGCTGTATCCACCCCTGAGCCATAGGGGTTTGGGATGTGCACACACACACCCCTCCCCCCCCCCCCCAACCCCCGCCCACCAGCTGCCACGGCCTATGCCCAGAGCTGGGATGTAATTCCCATCCAAAGGCTGCTTTTGCATGAAGCCGCAGTGCTGGGCTCACAGGGGAAGGGGAGTGCTCAGGACCAAGGCACTGGGAAGCATCACCTTCCCAGCCCCAGTCATGCTGCCCCCAGGGAGCGGGAAGGCAGCAAAGCCTCCGTGCCGAGCTGCTGGTGTTGAGAGCTGCCCCGCACCTCCTTATTACTCACTTGTTGTTCTTTGGATGGTACCCACAAAAGGAAATGTTCTTCAGCTGGAAAAAATGGCTACACTTGTTTACCTGGGGGAGAGAGAGAGACGAACTGTCAAAGCTTTCCTCCCCACCACCCTGTGGGGCAACCAGTCTCTGGCCCCTGGAAATATGCACTTGGATTGAGCAGTGAAATGAATTTGAGCCTGATCCTGGGCTGCTAGCAGAAGCACTTTCAGGATGGTCCCAAGCACCTGCACACAGGGTGCTCTTCCAGGCAGCCCTGCTGGCTCCCACCCAGGCTGCCTCTACCTCCAGCAGCTCCTGTGGGGTTTCCCTGGAGGCCCTGGGTTAGGCTGTACTCAGGTTAGGGTCAGTGCTGCTGTTTGCCCAGTGCACACAGCCCTTCTCCCTTGCTAAAAAGGCTTTCAGAAATACCAGC